CGTGTTGTTCCAAAGATTATTTCAATCGGATATATAATGCCGAACACGTGCCAAATCGGGCTTCGAGAAGATTTATTTTTAACAAAAGCCGAGTAGTCGATTCTGCGACAATCTAGCGGAATGTTTGATTTAATTAAAAACGAAAGCTCGCTTTTCCTTTGTGCCTTTTGCGACAAAAGTAAAAACGGAAACTTTTTTAATGGCCGTCTGATATTTTTAGATTTTGGCGGTGCAGTACAATGGTCTATTTCAAGGATGAAATATAGATATAAGCTTATTTTCATTCCATCCAAATATACCGATTAGTTGCTGACAACAGTTTAAGTATAGCGGGTATAAATAATTATTTGTCGAAAAAAAAAAACTGCCATGGTCGAGAGACTCTTCATTGTTTCTGTTTTCATGATTTCGTGACCAGTGTGTCCCAAAAAGTTTTTTGCCTCATTCCACACAAACACTTTTTCAGTCTGGGGTTCTTGAATTGTATCTAATCCAAATTCAGTTATAATGCTTTCAAAACGTTGCGTCAAATATAAGTAAAATAAGAAAATTGTAGTTTTGAGTGATGAGAAAAATATGTTCAAATTGCAAGAGAGAGCAAGGTGTTCTTTACAAATACACATTCATGTTAGATTTCGCGTTTGTCCAGCGCTGCTTTAAATTTTTTTTTGGTCTGTTAAGTTTTTTAATTCTTGAAAAGAAGTTGCATTTTAACCAAATTTATAATAATAAATATGAATTGTTAAAAGTTTAGTTATTAATTAGTAAACACTTGTTTAGAGAAAATAAATATTGAACTCAGGTGGCTTTTACTTGATGAAAATCCATTTAACGAAATAAATAAGAACTAAAAGTTAAGATTTTCACGAACTTATATATTTTTACATGACAATTGTGTCGACAACACTGTGTCTTTATCAAATGTAATATTTACAAACTACCTGCTACTATATATACCGATAAATGACATTAAAACCTTAATTATTGTTATTATGATAATTTAAGTTTAATAATGGAGAGGTATTTAAATCTAATTTATCGTTAAGCAATACATTTGAATGTCCCATTTTGTTAATCTCCATGGCTTCCAATAAATTTAATTTTCTACTTTTTGTGGCTATATATAAAATATCAATTGTCGTCAAAATGTGTTTTTCTGTGTTTAAGTGTGTAGCATAATTAGAGTCTACGCTATTGTTTTTAAACGCTCTTTTATGTTCGTTAATGCGTTTTTTGAAGAATCTACCTGTTTGTCCAATATTAAATTCAAAATAATTTTGGTCTAAACATACTATTAAGCAATCTAATAAATCTTGTTTCAGCAATGGGTTAAACTGTTTCCGAGTGAGGGTGAAATCTACTAAATCTATCACATCCATAGGTGGAATACTCGGAAATAAGTTTTGTACTCTATTTATCCGAAACCTAATACAGAACACGAGAAAAATTTAAAACAATTACATACATAGCAGAACCCAGCGGAAAAGTTTCAAAACATATATGAAAATGTGGTTTAAAAATAGCTTTCAGAATTAACAACACAATAGGAAAAATTAAAAAAAAAACAATAAAATGAAATGTCCAAAATGTCAAAAATCACGTGCCTACAGGTTTGTTTTTTTATTTCATGCTCTTGAAGTTTAAAAAATTCTATATCATTAAAGGAAATGCGTTTATCCATAGCACCCTCAGTATTTTTCAATGAATTCTTATAGTATCTCAATACTTTTAATTAAATATTACAAGTTTACTCGAAAATTAAAACTAACCAAACTCGATAATTTGAATAATGGGGCATTCTGTTCACATACATTTCCGATATCGTGACACTGTTTCAATCGCTTTCGTAATAAAGTTGTATTATATCGTGCCTGTTATGTCATTAATAAGTGACAGGTTAAAAAATATTTCGTTATTTAATTATTATTAATATAATTTTGTGAAATTATTCTCTAACAGCATTTATGGAGGAAAACAGCCAAATTAAACAGGAAATTATGTCAATAAAAGCGTTCGTTTCTAGAGCCATTGTTCTTCTGATGCGCACTTTTTTAAAAGCCTTAAATTTTATAAAATTTATTCCAACTCGGACAGTATCCAATTGTTGTTTTAAATTCGATAGTAGTGCGAATGTAGAACTTTTTAGAATATGATTAGTTAACTTCCTCATTCTCTAAACTTCTAAATCAAATTATTAGCGTAACGTTGGATAATACTACTAAATTATCCGATGACGAATTACGACGAACGAATATAATTACTACAATTTCAAGAATATTCCAAAAATATGTAAATAATATATCACTTCATATTTTGTAGTAGGGAAATAAATTTGTAAAATTATGTAACTGAAATTGAGATTAATTTAATTAAATTAAACGTACAAAGGCGCTTTAGGCAAATATAATTTTCCTAAAGCGCCTTTTCTTAATATAATAATAGTAATAATAAAGGTCTTTATTTGAATTGTAAACAATATAACAATAACAAGTTAAGATTTTGACAAAAAATCGAAATTCAGTCTAAAAATTCCGTCCTGTCTAACCCGAAGAAAGAGAGAGGAAAAAAGAAGTACATAAATTTCCACTTCATGTGGCGTAACTTATATCAATAATAATTTTAAAATTCATTTACTACACAGCTAGAAATTTCTTTAATTTGTTCATAAGTAGTTTTTCGAAAAGTTTAGTTTTTAAACGTTGGTGGTTGCTTAAGTTTATTATTTTATTTGGTAAATTATTTAAACATGAAACAACATTATATGAAAAGGATTGTTTAAAAATTTCAGTTGCATGCATTGGCGTTTCCTTAAATCGTATATTAAGATTATATACGTCACAGCGATAGCTTATTTTGTTACAGAGGTATATAGGAGACTTTTTACCTGGTATTTTTGCATAAAGAACTGTAGAAAAAGAAATATTCTATTTTTCATATGTGGCCAATTAACTCAAATTCTGTCAAAGTTTTAAATCTCAAAAATCAATCAAATCAAATCAATTGTTTGCTTTTTTGTTTCTTTTTGCAGTTATGCAAAGATATTGCCCTCATAGTTATGTTAAAGTTTAATTATATTAAAGTTCTGGAACAATAAAGGGTTATTAATTTGAGTGCCCTATTAGAATTTCTTGAAAAATAATTCTTCTTTTTCTTTTCCATTTTTTGGAAATATTTACGCGACATTTTAAATGGAAATGGACACCATATTAGTACGTTTTCAAAGGTTACGAACAATTCTGGGTGATTTTTGATAACATTTACCCTTCCCTCTTCCGGCAAAAAATAATTTTAATTTTTTTGCAAGAAAACACCGCTTACTGAACTAGTTATTTCGAATTTTTTTAGGAATTAGCCAATACATTTGTTTGAATGACTAATAAGTGAATTTAATGGTAAGTAATACAGGGTGTCCCAAAAATTTACATTTCCAAAAAAAATAGTAACAGTAAAAACGTATTTTGTTTTTAAATGCAATTAATTTATCTAAATAATCTCCATACAAGTAGCAGCAGCAATCGTTTCTTAGGTTAAATAAAAATTATTCCTTCCACCAAGAATGAAAAAACAAGTTTAAAATATCAAGATTTGAATATTTGCATTTGCAGTTTCCACTTTTTGGGTTTTGCTTTATTTAAAACTAAGTAAATAATTTACGAGAAAAATCTTTTTTACCCAGATTTTTAAAATGAGGAACGACCTTTATTCCCTCAAATCTAAGAAACAGTTGGCGATAGGTATAAGGACATCAATGAAGATTTAGTAAATAAATTATTAAGCATCTAAGAAAAATGCCATTTTACTGTTACTATTTTTCTTTGTACATGTAAATTTTTGGGATTTACCATTAAATTTACGTATTAGACATTCAAACAAATATATTAGCTAATCCCTGTGAAATGTTGAAATTACTACCTCACTTACGCAATAGACATTAAACTTTAATAAAGTGACTTTTTTTGAGAAGTAAGGGAAAGGGAGAGGCACTGGAAAATGTTAACAAAAGTTACTCACAATTTTGGGTAAAACCAGAAAACGCAGGACCCTCAACGTGAAGCACCCATTATATTTCTTCTTCTTAGGTGTAGGCAATAAATATTGTTAATATTAATTATACATTGAAGAATTTTTCCAAGGATTAGATATCTAAGATACTTCATAACCAACTCACAGCTCAGAAGTTTGTATATTGATCTGGTTCATGTATTTATAATATGCCATTATGCAGTGACCTAGTTTCATTTGAGACGCTTGTAGGTATTACAAAAACGGATAATCAAAATAAAAAACAAAAAAGATTAGTGCTGAACTTCACTGCTTTGCATTGATAAGAAAAATATATAAAAAAAGTCACAACTGAACATGGTAATGACAAAAAGAAAAAGATATTTCACGGTATGTTCAAAAACATTCACTAACTACATCCACCAGACGATTAGGAACTACTTTTAAAATATCTCTATCCCAAAAAATGTATTTTATATATTTTAAAATTTATCTACCACTGTCGAATATTTTGTACGCACTGTACAGTATAAACAATTGCAGCTAATCCTAAAATGTAAAATTGAAAGTAAGAGAAGTATAGGTAGAAAGAAGAAATCGTAGCTCAGAAGCATCAGAGACTGGCCACACACCAATGGTAGTACACTACCCACAACACAAGCCCTTAATTGGGAAGACTTTGCCATATTGGTCGCCAACTTAGCGAGAGAAGGCACATATGTGGAGGAGGATGTGGAATATTTAATTTTGCCACTGCTGTTTTCATCTTTAATATTTATTATATGTCACCTTCAAACATCTTATAAATCCGGAGTGCAAAATAGACTGGATGCGCAAGTGTATTGATGTTGAGCATCTTGTTGAGTTTTACTTATGTTATTAGGAGCGCACATAATACTTTTACGAAACTTTTCATCAATTAGAAAACTTCCACAATGCTTCCGTGGACTTCGAAATGTTTATTGACTACTTACTGCAGCGGTGTCTCTTTGTTTCAGAACCATCTCCGCTTTATGACAACAATCACTACCACGAAGAATGTCTACGATGTAATTCGTGCGGTCTTAACCTGACGGGCCCAAATCAGAAACGGGCACGGCGTTTCAAGAATCAGATACTCTGCGATCTCCATTTTGCCGACGTGGCCCTTATGGAGTGCAGCGATTTTATGCAGCAACTACGCAGTTTTAAGCCTCAGAGTTTGGGATGCGCAGTAGCGAGGAGGAAAAGCAGCACTACGCTCATATTCCCGTTACCACCGCAGGCGTGCTCTGGTAAGTCTACTACATTTTATTTGCGCATATTTAATATAGATAATTTCGTTTTGAGGACCCTCGACAAAATAAAATTCAATAAAGAATTTCTTTTGCCATTACATTACATTACATTACACGCGCTGTATGCAAATAATGTGCTTTTTCTAGTCCCTTCTTCGGGTGTATCAAAAATACCTTAACCCCTTCCTTAATCTTCTCTCAAATAAATAAATAAATAATAAAATAATGCACAAAGTGCAGAATTCTTGGCAATTCATTTAGACCCTAAACTAAATTGGTGTCACCAGACACACACGGGTTTGGGAGCAATCGTAATGTTTTCGGAGATTTTACCGCACGGTTTGAATTTTAACGTTTGTCAATTCTGATGGTTATCTCAGTGAATGTATTCGTGTTGTTTCAAAAATGTACCCAAAAATTAAGACACAGAAAAATGTTATGTAATATATCCGACCATTTTTAATACTACATGCTATACGCTACTATTAAAGTCAAGTTGACTAGTCGGTTAGTAAAGTGACATTTAAAATTTAAGTCTCCTTCAGAAATTTTACATACCGTTCGCATGAACTTTAGTGGTTTTTACAGTTGTTACAATTGCAAATATCTATTTCTCATCCATGCTTTTTCTTGTTATACGATTTGAAAAGTTTAATCCTCTTAAAAAATCTCTCTTTGGATGATTTTTCTTCCAATTACAGTCTTTTTCATTAAATAAACTATTCGATGATTAATTGCAAAAATTAAATAAACAACACAACGTTTTAAAATTGTGTTAATTTCGTTGTTTACATGACATATCCAATAATACATCTAGCTCTGTCTAATGTACACAGTTTAAAAGAGGCAACAATAGCAGCACCGATCGGAACGATAAACGAATAGGTTTAAGGCAACTAGTAAATATTTTGTTTCAATGGACGAAAGTTAGTGATCCGATAATTTGTTATAATTTTCAACTTGTTAAAAAAATATATAGTCTGCAACACGTTTGGTAAACTCTTTATTTCACTCGTTTATTAAGCACTCGCTTCGCTGCGCTCCGCTCGTGCCAAATAAACTCGTGACTCAAATGCCGTTTACTGCAAAAAAAAAGATAAATATTAAATACAATTTTGATCATAATAATTAATTTAGGTTGTAATTTTTAGTTCTTTAAAAATGAAGCACTCTTATAATCAGATTCTATTTAGCATAACAAATTCTGGCAATTTTTTTATTTGTCGTAATATTGGCGTTGGAAGGTTTTCAGAGAAAAAGAATACCTCTTGGTAGCTCTAAAACAAATGCGTAATCCGTGATCTCATAATTGAATTTGTTTCGGAAATTGAATTGTTGATTCCAATTTATCATATCTATTTCAAATATTATCAGTATCTAATACTTAAAGGTAAATATGTTAATTTTTTTCATTGTTATATCTTCTATCAATTCTACTTTACTTACACAAACTTCTAATATAATTAAGACAATAAGACATTTTACTTCCGGCTCGTTAGTAAAACAGAAAGTTGGATTAATAATCCGATGAAATTTTATTGCAGACTAAAGTTTTGTCTTAAGTAGTTTTATTGCCACTCGTAAAGTTTCCTTAACAATTTCACTCTACGGTATTTAGCTGCAGGGAATTGGGTCAATAGAATTCTAATTGTACATATTCAAGTTAGAAGAATAAAAATTCCAAAACGGTAGTAGCACTCCTTCAAATAATAAAAGTTGTTTTTCTTTTAGAGCACATGAAATGAAATAAATCAGCACCATATACTTTTTTTGATCAATGATTAACTTCTAATACTATCTACAGCACATGTTGGTTTATCCCACTTATAGAGTAAGGTCGGATATATCGTACCAATTTTTAGTTTTTCCAGCCCTGCGCTCAAAGATGAAATGATTTATTAAAAACCACAAACTGGCAAAACAGAATACATATTTTCTTAGCTTTGAGACATTTTTAATATCTGGTATATTTTGAAAAAATACTGCCGTAAAAATGGCGCATTCAAACTTATTGACGATCTGGCGGCGACCATGCTGATTGGTGAATGACGCAAGGTAATTTATTCAAAACTAGATTTTAAAAGTGTTCCATGCGCATGTTGAATCGACCTTTTCTTTTTTTTTTCATAGTTGCTTTATAAGTTCTTGTTTTATCGACATAGGCAGGGCCTCTATATCTTTAGCTACTATGGTGGTGGTACGATATACTAGAAGGTACGATATACGCTAGCTTACCCTACGCGACACTCAAGCCAAAAATGTATTTAAATTTATAAAAAAAAATAGAAACACAAACCAAGAGCATTAATAAATCCTCTATTGTAAAATGCGTTTAAATTTTATTTGAAACAGGACTTGGCCGAATGATCCTAGCAGTCGTGGTCAACAGAAGTAAAAGAAGAATGAAACAGGACCGTATTAATAATTTATAACTGCATTAGTTATTTTTAAATCGTACTTTCAAAAATGATCCTTTCCTTGCTATTTAAACAACTATTTAAAAAAGGTTAACAAGGGCAACGATAAGTGTTTCGGTATAATAAAAATATATATTTCTTCTTTAATATAAAAATATGCCCAATAAAAGCTATATCGTTAATCTGTGAACGCGAGGTAAAGAAATAAACGGAGGGTACTCGGCTTTATTGGATTGTCTCTCGAGGTAAGGTTATTTTCTTTAGCAGATGGGACCCGCAGATTGGGGGAAAATATTGCGGCACAGAGAAAAAAATTATTAAATACGAGACCCGCAAAAATAGATATCAAACGTGATTAATCACTTTTTATATAGACTTTAATTTTGCCATTAAATTTATTGGAAATAACGAATATCACTTAAATAATCATGATTCTAATTATCGAGTCTTAAAAATACCACTGAGCCGTTTCACTTCAATAAAATTTGTTTTGTCCGTAACATACATAGAATTATTTAATATTTATTTTATGAATTAGTGGACATTATTCTGGAATTTAACTTGAATACAGTGAAATATATCGAGGAAGAGTAGATAAAAGTATCAAAGAAACAACGTTAATATGTTCACTTGAAGTACGTCTGGTAGGGTTGTCGATAAAGGGAGAAATGGACCTTTTCAATTAAAGTGAGGCTTTAAAAGCTCTTCGTGTGAAAGCGCTTTGAGTCACGTTGCCGGAAGTGGTTGAGTAAACGCCCAACCCCGTCCTTATGTTTTAAATTTGTGTGCTTTAATACTACGATGGCACTTTTTCGATTTGTCAGTCAGAAACATTCAATGTTGGTCAAAATAAACAAAACGTCAAAAAGAGTTAACTAGATCTCAAGCTAAATGACACCGTTGTGATACAAATGCGAGGAGATTTTTTGCAATAGAAGAGGACGACTAGTTATTCGGAACTCTTGTGTTTGCCTTGGTCATTTATATACAGAGTGTCCCGAAATTAGACGTCAATATTTTTACCACGTATTCTGTGGCCCAAAATAAGGATAAACGTTAGGGTCCAAAACGTTTTAGTTTTTAACATACCCTGTATGTGAAATTTGAAATTTTCGTAAATATTTTTAAATAAAATTTGGTACAGTAAATAAACTTTTTATTTAACGAACTAAAACTTTGTATTGAATTGTCTTCAGGGGTGGGTAACACAGGGGAGGCGTGGGACAAATTTGCCCCAAATTTTTTGTTTTTCGAATTTTCGTAATTTCGACTGCAGAATTTGACAATCTAAAGTTTTCTACGTAAGTAAGATACCCTTGTCGCGCCTCCCTAGAACACACCGTTTTCGAGAAAAATGATTTTGAAAATTTTATTTCAAATTAATTTTTTTTATTTTAATGCTTACAAATGAGGAGCAGATAATCATCAGTAAGCCTTGGAAGTTAATGACGCGTTTCATTTGTTTGTGTTGCTGGGTAAATAAAAATTGAATGTCAATTATTCGACAGCTTTCAATTTTGTTCATTGTTGGTAAAAATTAGTTTTTACTTGGATTGTTCCTATAACAATTATTATCGAAAGACAAATGAAACAATGAACTGCAAAGCTAATTCTTCTAATAAAAATTATAGATTTTACATTTTAAAGAAGGTGCTCAAAAAGGTTGCCTTGCTCACGAAGGCAAAGTGGGGCTCTACGGCTAATCGCACGTGAAACTTCGAAATGGGTTTGTCGAATTTGATTTCCTGCCAAACGTATCCTTTCGCGCAACACCTCCTCGCTGTCGACTTCTGTTGCATATACTATATTTCATATGACCTCAAAAATATTAATCTAATGGAATCAAATCCGGGGAACGAGGTGGCCACAGAATAAGACCACCTCTTTCAATCCATCTACCCCGGATGCGCTTGTTCAGCCAGTTTCAATCATTTACACTGTAATGAACTGGTGCTCCGTCTTGCTGAAAATGCAATGGAAGATCGTCTAAAATATTGTCAGGATGAGTGTCTAAAAAGGTAAGGTACTCATTTGCGTTAAGCCTTGCTGAAATTTCAATCGGACCGAAAAGTATGCTAATATCCCCGCCAATACATTAACAGAAAATCTATTTGGAAAATTTCCACGTCACACAACCCGAGGATTTTCCTGCGAATAGAAATGGTGATTGTGAATATTAAAAACACAACTCCCTCCCTCCCAAAAAGTCCTGGGATCTAAGGGCTTGGACACGCTGGTAATGATAGGGATGAAAACCTTGCATTCCTAACATTCTACCAACCTAAAAAACAAATTGGCATTTTTTTAAGACAGTTAAAAAAAAATACCTTCAAGACTAAATTCCACCTAATCATCGCGGAGCGATGTGGTGCGTCGCGTCACCGTCGTGTCGGTCGCGGCGGTTTAAAAACACGTTAATTTAATTACCCGCAAAACGTTAAAAAGTTATGACCCAACAAGAGTGAGTGATTTTTGAAAAGATAGGTTAGGTTATTTTTACTACTCATTCAAAAATGTCTCCCCGAAATCTTGGACCCGCCCTGAATTAATTGTAAAATAAAAGAAAAATGATACTACTTA